ACAGTCGGTGGTTCCTCGTTTGGAGTGCCTAACGCCTGTCTCTTATACACATCTAGATGTGTATAAGAGACAGCTCTCTCTCTCTCTCTGTCTCTGTGTGTGTGTGTGTGTGTGTGTGTGTCTGTCTGTCTCTGCATCAACCTACCTACCTCACACACACGCAGACTGTGGACATGTGGACAAGCGAGGAGAGCGAAGGTACACAAGAGTGGGGGAAGAATTGGGAGAGGGAATAGGAGAGGAAGGGGGAGTGCACAAATCAAATGGACGGAACGGAAAGGAGGCAATGGCGGTCGGTTTACTTGGACTTACTCTCGGGAGCCAGATATATTCGCAGAACCTCTCCATACTGAGAAAGCATCTGCCTCAACTTCAACGGTTTGAGATTGGGAGGTATCCTGCTAAGATAAACGATCCCTCGTCGCTTGTACTCCTTCTGCATTTTTTCCAGCTTCTTTTTCGTTAAACCCTTCTGCTTCTTCTGCTTCTTCTTCACTGTCCTCGACATTTCCTTTTCTTCCTCGTTGCCCAGGTCCAGTTCCCCCCTCGCATCATCTCCTCCTCCCTCCCCACTCCGTCCATCCCCATTCCCCTTTCCTCTTACCTTCTTCTTCTTCTTTCCCCTCTCTTCTCCGATCTCACCCTCACCATCCCTTGTCATGGCAATGGCATCATCACGTCTGCCATCTCCCTCTTTATTACATCCCTGCGCATCCTTCTTCATACTTTTAGAATCCCCCTTCGTGTCTATCTTCTCCCTCCTATCTTCTTCTTCTTCTTCTTCTTCTTCTTCTTCTTCTTCTTCTTCTTCTTTCGTCTCCTTCTCTTCCTTACTACAACAATGCACATCCTTCTTCAGACTCCTAAATCCCGCCTTCATGCCTGTCTTCTCCCTGATGCCTTCTTCTTCTTCTTCTTCTTCTTCTTCTTCTTCTTCTTCTCTCTCCTCCTCTTCTTCAGTCGCTACGCCTGTTCTTGCCACCAATGGCCGCACGGTTGCTTCGTGTTCCTCCTCGTCTCCGAGCATTTGATCCTCCATCGCTACAGAGGTTTTCTTCTTCCCGAGAGGACGGGCACCACTGCATTCTTCGTACTTCCCTGCTGCTGCTGCCGCCATCGCTAACCTAAACGAACCAGCGGTTGCCGATACCAACCAGTAGCGATCCCGATGGTCTCGGATACATATGCATATAGATACATAGACAGATGTATATGTAGATATCCTTTGCTGATCTATGCGAGCTTATGACAAAACATGGACGACGTCTATGCCATCAGCCCGATCCATTGAGCAAAATGCAAAAGCCCATCGCGGTTACCCAATGTATGGACGCATGTCAATCTCTAATCTCTAATCTCTTCTCTTCTCTTCCGCTCTGCAAACTCCTTTTCCTCCGACAACGACCCCCCACGATTCTTTGCACTCCATCATCTCATCCACTCCCCGGAGAAAACACGTGGCATCACCCCGATTTGATGACGCGATCACGTGGTCGTTAAGATGAATACCACGTGTCTTCACTCCCTACACATAGCGCGCGCGCAAAGACGGCAAGGTCAAGGGCCGCTTCGCCGCTCCGGTCCGTCAACATGAAACACTCCCGCCTCCTCCCTGGTAGCTTAGTTGGCATACCCATGAACTGTTGAAATGCACACCCACCTGCGTTCGAATCCGGGGCAAGGTCCCACTTGCACGGGTTAGGAGATTTCGGCCGTTGATCTTCGCTATCTACGGTCTCTATCTCTTAATTCGCGCAAGTTGGGACCTAGCCCCCGCCGGATGGAGTCAGATCAACAAAATAACGCGAAGACGGCGGCAAGGCCAACGGCCGATCAGGCCCGTCAAACTCCCGCCTCTGTTTTTTTTTTTTTTTTTAACTCCGGCCTCCTAGCTTGGATTCGAAGATCCCACTACCCTGGATTATTCATTTTTCACCCTTGATTTCGAAGATCAACGGTCACAAAAGAACATCAGGGACTAGTGGGATCTGACCCTAAGTTGGTGCACAGACCCAAGGTCGATTCCAGATACAGTCAGATCAACAAAATAGGGGGTCGCGCAAGGTGCGCTAACCGGTGCGTTAGCACTCAGTTCCTGCACCGCCTGTCGGACGGCGGGCCTAACCGGCGGAGGGTGAGTCCTTCGTGGTCTCACAGCTGCAGGTGGAACTTAGTCTCCTCGTTTTGTCGAGGACCTACGGCGATGGCCGAAGGTATGTGTTCCAGCGCTTAGAGTTTCGACCGTCGCCTGTCTGTCTTTCTCCACTACCCTACGTTGATCGAGAAATTTGCCTAAGTTAGAATTCTCTCTCTGAAAACTTGTTTTAGTAGGGTTTTTAAGCGAAGGTGTTTTAAGTGTAAGCTGTCTAGTAGAGGGAGTATGGATGTGGAACCACCGGCCCGAGTTGAGGGGGATGGAAGGGCGCAGGTCCCTGGTGATTATCGTCTGGATGAAGAAAGGGTTAGAGAGATGGTTAGGGCTTGTTTTGAGGAAGGTATCCTTCCAACGAACATTGACCCCGGTGAGATGGAGGTGAGTGGTAGGGAGGTGAAATTCACTCTCAATGCCTCTTTGGATGACATAAAAATCCGTTGGCTTAAAGAGAGGACGGTCACGGTGATTTTTCGAGATGGGGCTAGGTTTCTACCAAAAAAAGTGAAAGAAGATGTTGTCAGGGCATACGAGGACGTTTGGATTCGAGATGATGTGTTTGGGGAAGAATTCAAGAGGGGTAGGATTAAGGTGGAGAGTCCAAACGTTGTCTCGTACGTTCCGAGGGCACAGGAGATCACGGAGTGGATGCTACAGAAGAAGTATGACTTCATCGATTTGGCAGGCATCACGTATCGTACTGAATTTAAACCGTGGTTGACTCGGGCCGAAATTCGGGATTGGCGTCAATTGGTTGATCAGAATACCTTTAGGGTGGTGGGGGTTGGTGTCCCTTTGGATGAAATGCCTTTTATTCATGTCCATATTGAGAAGGCAATAGCGAAGATCACTAAGTAGCATAAGCCGGAGTCAGACGAGTCGGACCCAAAGTTGGTCAACTTGAGGTTTGACATCAACCCTGCTTGCAAGAACAACATGAAGGATAAGTTCTCCATCCAAACCTGTCAAGGGGATATCCTGGAAGTCAAATTGACCGGTCCGGAGTCCGAGTGGTGTAAGCGATGTCGTTCGTTCTTTCGCACGGAAGATACCTGTCGTCGACCTGGGAGGAGGGCTCAAGGAGGTAACAACAACAACCAGGCACAAGCTTCGACATCTGGATCTCGACAACCAAGATCAAGCTACAACGGGATATTGCATGCCCCGGGGGCAGCTTCTCAGCCAGCTGTGCAATCGGTCGACAACCCTCTCCAGCAGCTTCCAGCTTTCAAAATCAACCTTACCTTCTCTCCTTCGGGAGGCGCGGGGCAAGTTCACCAGCAGGGAACCCTACATCAAGGCGCAGTGCAAGGACAAGCTCCCTTGATCGATGCTGTTTGGGCAGCCTACTTCGGCAGTTTCCCTCCTCCGTCGGGGGTGGGCTTGCAGCCTGGTTTGGGGCCAATGCAGTATCAGATGGGGATGAGCCCTTCGATGTCAAACCTTCATGCCTTTACACCATGGGTGGCTACTGCCCCTCCTCAGGGAGGCGTCGCTAGAAACAAAGAAGCCTCTCAGTTACAACAGATGGTATTCCCGGCAGGAAGGAATCTTCCTGCTGCAAGTGGAAGTCGGGTGCGGGGCGAATCCCCTGGGAAACAGCGGAGGGTTAGTGAAGGTGATGTGGACATTCAAGTGGATCTTCAGACGGAAAATTCGGCCAGTTCCACAGGCTCCCAGGCTGCTCCATCCACAGCAGGTAAGCGCAAGTCCACTCGACATCGAATGGAGGCCTTGTTGAAAGGTCAAGCTGTAGTCGAGTCTAGGGTTCTTCCAATCTTGTGTGCCTCCGCTAGGAATGGTTTCTGGTTCATGGCATGGGTCGGGGCAGAAGGCATCCCGCTCTTATTAAACTCATTCTACCCGGAATCACCCATGCCCCATGCTACTCTGTCGATGGTAAAAACCTTGATTCGGGACAAATTTGCTATTCGACTGGTAGAGGTCTCTATGCCCAGATTGCTCGTTGATATTGAAGGTAGAAGATGTCGATGCTATGTCCCCATTTTCGACGTCCGTTTCCTGCCCAATCAACTTGAACAGTTGGAACAGGAAGGTTTTCACCTGTTTCCGTTGTCTTGGCTCATAGAAGGCAGGAAACCAGAATTGCGAAGGATCAGGATCTCTCCTTCGGTTTCGGCCGAATTCCTGTCGGAAGTGAACATGAAATTGGGTAGGGAAAGGAAGCTTGGTTCCCCCTTTTTGAGACAGTATTTAACCGAAGCTTGGCCTCCCGCTATTCTTGGCGATGTTTCCCAGATCCAACATGTGGGAGGGTCGGCCCATAATGGGCAGACTTAGGGTAGCTACGTGGAATGTACGTGGTTTGGGAGACTCCTCTGGTAGGAACAAAAAGGGCCGAATGAAAAGTTGGATGCACTCTAATAAAATTGATATCCTTTGTATACAGGAAAGCAAACTCTCAGAGGAAAAGATTGTAGGTCTGGGACCATGGTGGGAAGGCTCGCAGATTTGGTCGCCTGCTATAGGCACGAGAGGAGGTGTCGCTATCTTAATTCACTGGGATTTGTCGATGGAAATCATCGATTTTTGTGTTGATTTATGGGGAAAGTGGGCATGGGTTAAAATGTGGATTGGCAAGCAACAATGGGTGATTGCGTCGATTTATGCCCCAACTGAGTTGTCTGCCCGTATCAACTTTTTCAAAGATCTCCCTCTGATTATCCCTGAGTGTGACCATGTTATTCTTGTGGGGGATTGAAATACTTCGCTGGAAAAACATGGAGGAATTTGGGGGGGTCGGGATATCTTTGCCCTCACCGAGTTAATGTCGGAGTTAGATTTGATGGAACCCTACCCGTTGCTACATCCTGCTAATCCTGGATACACATGGTTCTCCAATGCTAGAGAAGAGGTTGGTACGATTAGCAGACGTTTGGATTTTTTCCTGCTTCCGCCCCCTGTTTGGAATGCCACAATGTAGGTCAAGGAAACACAGAACCCGATATCTGATCATAAACCAGTGGTAGCGTCACTAAATATCCGAAAGCTAGAAAGGGGTCCGGGCTACTTTCGGGTGAATACCCAAATATTGAATGAGCCCAGGGTAGTAGATTGGATGCAAAGATTCTGGTCGGATTGGAAGGATAACGAAAACTCCTTTCAGTCTAAGGACGAGCATGGGGATGCTGGAGTTAAGGTGTGTTCCCGTCATTTGAGCATTTTCTCACGAATTTTGGTTGCTAAACGAAGAGATAAGGAACAGACCCTGTTGCGGAAAATCGAGTATGTTGAATCTCGTATGAACTGTCACCCAATTTCGAACTTAGTCTGGGGGCCGGTTAGGAGGAAACTCCTCACTGAGTGGGATGAGTTGCAGATTGAAGAGTCTGAAGCTTGGGCGGAGCGACTTAGGGTGAAAGGCATTGTGATATATGATCGAATGACTCGGGAAACGTTCCAAAAGTTGTCCCCCAAGCGTCTCACTCAGTCTATCTCTGAACTACGACATCCCTTCGACCATGACTTACCTGTGGCTCGTGAACAAGCTCAGTTATGTGTCTATGCTGCCACCTACTACCAGGACATTCTTACCACAAGGAGACTTAGGGAGGATATTTCTGTAGACTTGTCTGACGGCTCCTCCCATTGGGATCAGTTTGTTGTAAGGTTGTCTCCCCAAGGCAAATTAGATATGGATCGTCCGATTACAACAGAGGAAGACTGGGAGGCCTTGAAGGCAATTGCCAAAGGCAAGGCCCCTGGAGATGACGGTCTTCCAGTGGAAGTCTATCTGTTAATTTGGGACTCTGTCAAGGATCAGTTAGTGGAGATCTATAATCGGGTGCTAACAGGCGGTAACTTATCTAAGTCAATGAGGAAAGGAGTGATTTCCCTCTTGTATAAAAAATGAGACAGATCTGAGATTAGGAATTGGCGTTCGATTTCGGTTCTCAATGTGTCCTATAAACTTCTGGCTAAGGCGTTAGCCAGGCGGCTAGGGAAATATCTCCCCTCTCTGATTTCCTGTGACCAAGCGGCTTTCGTCCAAGGCCAGTCAATTTTCAACAACATTGTTACGGCTATCGAGGCTTTGGAAGTGGTGCAAAACTCACAATCTAATTTCTCTATTTTGATGCTCGACCTCGAAAAAGCCTATGACCGGGTGAATTGGACCTATGTTCTGACAACTCTGAGACATCTGGGTTTTGGGGAGAACCTCTGTAATTGGGTAGTGGCTCTCTATTCTATGTCAACTGCCTCAGTCATGGTAAATGGCAACCTCTCGGATTCCTTTGCCCTGTCTCGTTCTCTGAGATAGGGTTGTCCGTTGGCCCCTCTGCTGTTCGTTGTTCAAATAGAAAATTTGCTATGCAACATCCGGTCCAACCATCAGATAATCAGTTTGAGGGCAGGCAACACCCAATGCAAGGTTAAAGCCCTTGCAGATG